ATCATCATCATCAGCAGCATCATCATCATCATAAGCATCATCATCAGCAGCAGCATCATCATCACCATCATCATCATTATAATCAGCATCAGAATCATCATCATCATCATCATCCACACCATGCACATCATCATCAGCAGCATCACCATCGTCATCATCATCATCATCAGCATCACCAACAGCATCGCCATCATTAGCATGCCCATCATTATTGTCATGACCATCACCATCAGTATCATCATCATCATCATCATCATGAACAAAACCATCATGATCATGGTCATCATCACCACCATCATCGTCATCAGCATCGTCATCAGCATCATCATCAGCATCATCATCATCATTATCAGCAGCAGCATTATCATCGGAATCGAGATACAAAATGATGATGACGATGAGAATCAGAATGATAATACTCTTCATCCGTATCAGCATCATCATCATCATCAGCATCAGTATCATCATCATCATCATCATCATCATCATCATCATCATCATCATCATCATCATCATCATCATCATCATCATCTACGTGGTCGTCATCAGCCCGAATCCTCCACCCTTGCAACATCCGGGGCGACCCCCTTTGCATCACCCTTGTCAACGGCATCAACTCCTACAACTTCATCCTGCAGATTTCCCTGGCCCCCCTGGCACCGCCGTTCCCCTGGCCACAAAGTGGCCGCAATCGTCGACGCGACCTGCATCATTCCACTCGCGTTCACCTTCCCATTTGTCGTCGCCAACGTTGTCAACACCTCCGATCTCCATGGGAGCCTGCGTCAAATCTCTGCTTCCAGGCCCAATCCTCGCATTTCACATACAGGTTATGATAGTTCTCCGGCGATAACGAGTCAAGAGTTTTGCAAGAGCCCCGGCGCCAATCCTCGAACAAATCACAGGCACGCGACATGGCGGCTCGTAGCGCGGCGACGCGGAATACCCGGCTCGACGAGCACACTGGGCCGCACTTCTCCAGTGTTTCCACTGACGCCGTCGACTGCCCTAACTGAGATGCCACGTCTCCGATCCTTTTGGGCTTGTCTGGGTTCAGTGGCCAAGCTCATCTTGGCTGAAAGGCCAATGCCGGCAATTGCCGAATTTGTTTTGGCGCGCCTGCAGCCCGTCTCATTCGCGACACCCCTTCTCAACTTCCCTCGCGGCTCTACCCCGTCCAGCGCGTCGTTGAGGATGCACCACAGGTCCGCGTCTAACTTGCGCATCGGATCGCTCCGAAACTCATACTGTTGTTTAACAACTGGCGCTTCTGTGTATTCAACTGCCGTTAACCAACAGCTGAATACACTCGCCACGCCGTCTTCATCCTCGTCTAACACACCGCCCAGTTTCTCCAGCTTGTTGTTCAGGTTATTGGGTGCTTCGCGGCAACTCGGACTGACCCGTGCAAAAGCGTCGCGGAGCTTCTCGCTCCAGTCCCTGGGCTTGCCGCGATCACCAACGAATGTTTTTAAGTGTTGCATGGCTTTGCACTCGCTAACCTGTTTGGTACCCAGATGCGCCTGTCTGTGTTTGCTCTCCGCCATGGACCCCGGTAAACTAGCAACGCTGTCACATGTGCTATTACGCGCATTCACTTGGTACTCTAGGTGTTCCAGCCTTTCCTTGCACATGTTTCGACTCCTTCTGGCGTACGTCTTCCTATTAACCACACTTATTAACAACTGGTTCATCTTCTAGGCCATGAGCAATAGGCCATAGCACTCTTCACTGGTACCCGTTTTCCCCCCGTGACGGCTTGTCGTTCAATGAACTTTTTTATGCCCTCATGGTTAGCTCGTAACGCGACAATCACGTAACGTAGTCCCCATTTTACAGGGCAGCCTCGCACAGCTTCGTGAACCAAGCCAGGTTAAGGTTGAACCACCTGTCCCGGCCTTGTGGCGAATCTCACCAGCCCTCTGGGCGTCGGTGGTTTAGAGAGTTTCCTCTTCCACTCCTCCTTGTTCCCCTTCGGGGAAGGGTTTATCGCTGTTCCCTATTAATAAACACCCCCTCCCCCAGGCGACTGGGGGCCAACCAGGGTCCATGCCACCCCCCTCCCACCATCCCTTGTAAAAAAGAATACAAAACACACTTTGCCTCCAAATTCGGAACATGCGCAGCCAACCCGATGCGCCCCACCCCCACCATCCCTGTCAAAAAAAAGAATACAGGGTACACGTGGCGGCGGCAGCGGCTGCGGCGGCTGCGGCGGCGGTGGCGGCGGCTGCGGCGGCTGCGGCGGCGGCGGCGGCGGCGGAGGCGGCGGAGGCGGCGGCGGCGGATTGCCCCCCAGTAGCTGCCCATCCAAAGACGACTGCTGCATATGCTGAGGCTCGGGCCAGACTCGGGTGCTACGTATGTGTTGGGAGGGCGGGTGGGAGTGAGCGAGACGGCTTGCGGGCGGGGAGGGGGTAACTTGACCCCTCCCCCTACCCCCTCCCCTGGACCTGGACAGGGGGTTCCGCGAGTCGTCGGAGCGTCCAAAACGACCCCGGCGAAGAAGCCAAAATCATTGGTTGTACTAGGGTGTTGGCCCCATGTTGGCCTCCTGAGGGGGGGTCCTAATTAGACCCCCCCCCTCCTTTGATCGATCTCACCCAAGATGGCCCAAAGATGGCCCCCAAGGCTCCCAAGGGTGCCCCAAGAGGGCCCCAAGAGGTGGCCAGGAAGCCCCAAGAGGCCCCCAGGATGCCCCCAAGAGGCTCCCAAGAGACCCCCCCAAGAGGCCCCAAGAGACCCCCCAGAGGCACCCAAGATGCTCCAAGAGGCCTCGGCGAGAATGCCAAATCATTGTTGTTTTACGAATGTGTTAGCCACATGTTGGCCTCTTTGGGGGGGCACTGATTGAGATGACTCCAAGAGCGCCTGGGAGGGCCCCTCTAGCGGCCGCGGCAGCGGCAGCGCCCGCCATCGCTCTCGAGTCTGCAAATCCTTGGGGAATATAGGCACGGGAACGATAACGATGTTTTCTCAGACCGATACGCTCGACACGAACGTTACACTTGAGCCAAGCGGCGTAATCACGACGCACGCTCGGTAACGATGATACGACCATTCTCCTGACTCAGTCACCCACGTTACAATTAACCTCCTCCTCCTCCTCATGATCATCACCATTACCACCCTCACCCTCACCCTCACCATCACCACCGTCACCATCAACAACAACAACAACAACGACGACGACGACGACAACAACAACAACAACAACAACAACAACAACAACAACAACAACAACAACAACAACAATTACTAGCACGTGGGGACACTCCGTTCTCACCAGTGCCAGGGTTTTCATAGGAGGCGGGCAATACCCCCACTTTGTGGGGGGGCCGGTTCAAGCTCTACCAAATTTCCAAACGACTCTTCGCCACCACCCACACCCAGCTTCCCGCCCTATGACGTTCGGACACTTCACTTCGTGGCATGCGGACGACCGTGGCTACTATTCAGGGCCCCGCGGCCGACGACGACGGCGTGCGCGCGCGAAGAAAAAACGAATGTGTCCCGCATGGTATTATTTGACAGGGATGATGGCCCTGGCAGGTGCGCAACCGTTGTTGCAGAAGTTCGAAAAAGTTGCTCGCAAAAGCCCGTTTGACAGAAATGTTTAAAAAGTGTTGGGTTTCCTACGAATCCGCAAGAGCGCGCGGGATGAATTTTTGACATTGTTTTTTTTTTTTTTTTTTATATAAAAAAAAAAAAAAAAAAAAAAAAAAAAAGTTTTTATGTTATAATCGCTACGAAAACTAAGGTTTTGGAAGGATTTCGTCTTGCGCGCGCGAATGTCCACTTTACCTTATTTTTTAAGGGATTCTTGAAGTTTGGTTATGTTAGAACAAGAAATGTCATTTCATTGTTTTTTGCAAGGGAAAGCGGGGGGGAACAAAACAACCGGATCTGGATCACATCGTTTTACCTGAGACTTCCTCACGAAAATGATGAAAATGTGGCTGCGGCCTAGGCGCGGCGAGGGGGCCGTGCACCAGGGGCCCCAACAATAATTATTCTTTAGAAGTAATAATGTTCAACAACAACAACAACAACAACAACAACAACAACAACCACAACAACAACAAACAACAACAATCATTTTACCCGAACGCGTGGTGTTCTCCCCAGTGCCAGGGTTTTCATACGACACCAGGCAATACCCCCACTTCGTGGGGGGCATTACAAGCTCTACCAAATATCCAAACGACTCTTCGCGACCACCCACACCCAGCTTCCCGCCCTATGACGTTCGGACACTTCACTTCGTGGCATGCGGACGACCGTGGCTACTATTCAAGGCCCCGCGGCCGACGACGACGGCGTGCGCGCGCGAAGAAAAAACGAATGTGTCCCGCATGGTATTATTTGACAGGGATGATGGCCCTGGCAGGTGCGCAACCGTTGTCGCAGAAGTTCGAAAAAGTTGCTCGCAAAAGCCCGTTTGACAGAAATGTTTAAAAAGTGTTGGGTTTCCTACGAATCCGCAAGAGCGCGCGGGATGAGATTTTGACATTTTTTTGTTGAAAAACCATTGGTTTTTTGATGTTTTTATGTTAAAATCGCTCCGAACACTAAGCTTTTGGAAGGATTTCGTCTTGCGCGCGCGAATGTCCACTTTACCTTATTTTTTGCAAGGGATTCTTGAAATTTGATTATATTAGAACAAGAAATGTCATTTTATAGTGTTTTTTGCAAGGGAAAACGGATTACAACAAAACAACCGGATCTTGATCACATCGTTTACCTGAGGCTTCCTCACGAAAATGATGAAAATGTAGCTGCGGCCTAGGCGGCGCAGGGGGGCCGTGCACCAGGGGCCCCAACAATAATTATTCTTTAGAATTAATAATGTTCAACAACTACAACAACAACAACAACAACAACAACCACATCCACAACATCAGTACCAACCACAGTATCATCAAAATCATCATCAGCTTCAAACCCATCGTCGTTAAAAACGATCATCATCAGCATCATCATCACCATCAACATCACGATCACCATTACCATCATGATCAGCATGATCATCCACATCATGATCATAATCAGATCATCATCGTCAGCGCCATCATCATTATCATAACCAGCACCATCAGCATCACCACAACCATCATCAAACTCACCATCATCATCATCAGCAGCATCATCATCATCATCATCATCATCATCATCACCATCACCATAACCATCATCCTCATCCTCATAATCATCATCATCACCATCATCGTCGTCATCAGCATCATCAGCATCGCCAGCATTACCCATCCCCATCCAGAAACTTGGGATGACGACGAGCCGCGCACGGACCGCAGGGGACAGACCTCGCAGGACCCGTGCTGGCGCGAGCCTCTGCCAGTTCCATGAGGTACGAGATCGCCCCACAGTGGTACTCCATGTATGCTAACAACTGATCGGGCGCTCCGCGCGCCGTCATCGTCGCTGCCACCATCGGCGCCAGCGTCGTCAGCATTGTCGTCGTCGGCATCATCAACCTGGACAGCATAACAGTGTCGTCGTCGGCATCATCAGCCAGGACAGCATCGCCAGCAGCATCGTCGGTGCAGTCGGCGTTGTCGTCAGCAGGGTGGTCATTCCCGACACAAACATCAGCATCCTGAGCACCGTCGCCGTGACAATCACCACTGCCTTACAATCGGCACGAAACTTGGTACGGTTGTCTCCACCGTTGTGGCACGTTGATGCTGTCGTCATCGTGATATCATACGTGCCCACATGTCAAAAAGAACGCTGATCATGGCATGCGCATCGACATCGTCACTGTCATCATGGCCGCTGTGGTACGTACACGAATCGTACTTGTCACTTGGCCTGTATCCTCGGCGCGGCTGGCTGGCGCATGCACAGATGGTAATGAAACATGGTCGACTGAAATAATGTGGTTGACACTAGCTAGCATCGGAATGCAGTTCGCCGCCGGCTGCGAGCGAGAGTGTGAACCTGATGGCTCTGAGTTTTCGGGGGCGTCAGACATTCCAGAGCTGGCTCCGCATCGACTCGGCTTGACCACAGAGAGCTCCCACGCGCTGTCACTACGTATGTTTTCTTTGGACGCCCGAAATGGGTACGGAAAGAATGGGCACAATGCCCAACAACAGATGCTGTCCCGAACCAACAGCGGCCGCTGTTGGGAAGGCGGCCCGCTGTCTCGAATGGACACAGGCCGCGGCGGCGCGGACAGCGAGTCCTGTTCAAAATGAACAGGAACTGCTGTTGAGCATTGTACCCATTCTTTCCGTGCCCATCTCGTTCGTGCAGATGTTCGTGTTGTTGCAGAGGTTCTCCCCGGCCCCTGCTGCCTCGGCCGCGTGTCACCCTCCGCGACTCGTCCCCCCTCCTCCCAGCCTCCCCTCTCCTCCCCTGCCCTCCCCCGCGGCTCCGCCCGCCTCGTCCCATTCCCCCGCTTCGTCCTGCTCATCATCCTCCTGCTTCCCTCCACGGGCCAACTTCGGACGAAGGTGCAGCCCTTGCGTGCAGAATGCGTCAATTCATCTGCTCGAGAGTTTGCCTCTCGAAACTCGTGCTTACAAAAACTCTTGCCCAGGGAGCTCGGCCTCACTCGAAATCGAACCTCCAGTCCCACATCCTCCGTTCGCCCTTCCTTCACTTGAACCTCCTCCGCAACCTTCATCCAAGTCCTCATCGGCCCTGGTGCCCATCCTCCCCTCTTGGGCATCTCCCCTTCCTCCTCCTCATGATCCTCCTCCTCCTCCTCCTCCTCCTCCTCCTCCTCATGATCCTCCTCCTCCTCCCCTTCCTCGGTTGCACGGCTTCGCGCTGCATCCCAAAACCACTCGAGGAGCTGTGAGAGACGAAAAAGTACGGGGGAACGCAGAAGACGATGGAGGCCGACTCGCTGCCGATGGAAGTGCGAAGCTCAGGAAACGCGAAACGCAGCTTTCCCGCCAAAATGAATCACTATTCAAACTGAAATGAAGGGGCCCCAGGACACACAAGTAAATACACACAAATAAAATTGTTCCCCATAGTTTCCCATATTTTCTGAGTTTTTGTCTTCCCCCCACTTCCCATATTTTCCCATATTTTCCTGGGAGTCGACGATTAATTGTGTCTGTGTGTTTTTTCCCCTCCTGATGAAAGAGAGGCCCACACGCAGTGATGCCGCAAAGAACCAGGAGAGCAACACGCACACAAGTCTACAAAGCATTGGGAAAAGGCTTTCGCACTGCAGCAGCATTGCGATCACCCGACCTGAAGATGCGTCGAATCGCCCAAGTCACCCGGATTCGCCAGCACTGGCCGCCAACAACGTGTTTTCACACAACAGGGTCTGGTCGTAGACCTGAGCACCGCGCGAATGCCATGGCCAATCCTGTCAAACGATGGGGCGAGACGGGCTCTCCCACGCAGCGTCGGCGAGCAATTTGACAGGAGAAGCGGCCTGCTGCGCCTGCTGCTCGGCCTCAGCCTGCGTGTCCGCCGCGGCGACCCGCTCGGGCGAGGCATGCAAGCGCGCACGGGCGCCGCACAAAAGGACGACCTGGTGAACCAGGGCGCCCCTGACTCCGGGTCAGCATCCGTGTCTCTACCTCGAGCGTGCGCGTGCAGGTTTAGGTCGGGCATGTCCCCCGACAGGCGGATTTTGGACGAAAAATTTAAAATACCCCAAAAATAACCAAAACTAATCAAAAATAGTCAATAAATCGTCCCCTGACTATTTCTTGACTATTCTTGAAATTGCATCCTGTACAGGGACACGCCCGACTTAGTTAAGTGCAGGCGGCCCCCGCCTCTCTGCGAAAGCCAGCCGCCCGCGTGCAGACTTTCTCTCGCCGCCGGGGACAGGGACGGGAACAGGGCGCCTGCTCGCCCCGGCCGCGGGACGGCCCTGCGAGGGGGTGCAAGCTGTTTTGAGCAAGGACCGACCGTCCCAGCATTCCTACAGGCCTACCACAAAATGTCTTCTTCCCACCGCGACAGCTATCAATAGAAAAGCTGTATGCTTGAAGTGATCCACGTGTTGGCGGACTATCCTGGATGCGAAGATTGTGGAGCCAGCGGAAAACCTGCCGATCTCTGCTCTGCCGTGGGTCTTCGAAATTCCTTCCGGCGCCATGCTGACTGCGGTGCTCGTGGCGCGCAGCTTCTCAAACGTCCAGCACAAATGAAGGGGCCCTAGGACACACAAACAAATACACATCAATAAAAGGATTCTCCATATTTTCCTATATTTTTGGGGTTTCTGTCTTCCCCCCCACTTCCCATAGTTTTCCATATTTTCTGGGGAATCGACGATTCATTGTGTCTGTGTGTTGTTTTCCCTCCTGAACAAAGTGCAGCGCGAGCAGCGGCCGAGGCCTAACACAAAATGTTCTTAGAACCCCAAAAGGTTCTAAGAAGAGAAACAACGCTCCTAGAACAGGAGCACGATGTGCTAGAACAAGACAGTCTCAGCCAAAAAGCGTTCCGAGAACATCTCGCGCAGACCACAAGAGGTTCTCAGAACAGTCTCTGGCGGGCCCATACCTGAAGGCGAGCCGGGACGCTTGGCCACTGCTTGGGCTGTGGCGCCTCAGCGCCGGATGGGTTGGAGACGAAGGGCAGGGAAAGACGGCCGGCCGACCCACTCGATCACGGCAGCCCGTCCGACTCGCCACGGCCGTCCAGCCCGGGCCTCGCCTGCGCCTGGCGCACCAGGCGCCCTGGGCACACGGACCGCCGGTCCGTGACGAGCTTCGCGCGCAGAACGGCGGGGGCTCCTGCGGAGCCGATCGGGCCAGCTGGGCTGCCTCCCAGCCACCAGCGCCGAGAGCGCTGGGAGCAGCCAACATACCTAGGAGGCCACATGCGGGCCCTACCCCACCACCCCACGATTTCTCAGCGGGGAGGTGGGGTTCACTGTGTTCGGGGCCTCCCGAGAGAAGTGAACCCCACTTCTCCCCCCCTAGGAATCGTGGGGTGGTGGGGCGGGGTTGGGATGTGGCCACCGAAAACACGGTTGGCTATCCCAGCGTCTCCGGTGAGCGTCTCGAGCACCTGGTGCAGCTGCTCGATCTCCACTTCACGAAGGGCGGCCTCACCCTGAAGGCTGCGAGGCAGTCTGTCTGCCGAGGCCTTTGCGCCAGCGGCGCCCAGACGAAAATCGCCGCACGCTCCCCGCGAGAAGGAACGGCGCCCCGAGCCATTGCTCCGCGAGCCCAAAGCCGAGCACCCCCAAATCCCTCAGGCCCGCCCAGAGCCCCGTGAGTCTGGGGTTGGGGGCACGCCGTGGGATAAGGTCCAGTAGCAGGGGGCCCGCGGAAAGGCATGGGCCAAAATGGCGTCGGATCTGCTCCTCCTCCTCCTCCTCCTCCTCCTCCTCCTCCTCCTCCTCCTGCTCCTCCTCCTTTGCCTCCTCTTCATCATTCTCCTCCTCGCCTCAATCTCGTCCGCCTCCTCCACCTCATCATCCTCCTCATCCTCTCGTCATCAGCAAAAGCACCACCACAGCCATCACCACCGCGGCCACCGCTACCACAACCGTCATCAATATTAGCATCAGCAACCGCCTCATCACCTCATCATCATCATCATCATCATCATCATCATCATCATCATCATCATCATCATCATCATCATCATCAACATCATCATCATCATCATCATCATCATCATCATCATCATCATCATCATCATCATCGTCGTCGTCGTCGTCATCATCATCATCATCATCCATCATCATCCATCATCATCATCATCATCAACATCAACAACATCATCATCATCGTCACAATCATCATCATCAACATCATCAGCAGCAGCTGCAGCATCAGCACCAACATCATCATCAGCATCACCAGCATCAGCATCATCGCCAACATCATCATATTCAGCATGAGTCGCATCAGCATAATCATCATCAGCAGCAACAGCATCATGATTATCATCATCAGCATCATCATCAGCATCATAATCACGCTCATCATCATACGCATCATCATCATCATCATCATCATCATCATCATCATCATCAGAAACATCATCATCAGCATGATAATTATCATCATGCATCAGCATCAGCATCGTTAGCATCATCAACATCAGCATCATCAGCACCATCATCATCAGCTGCGCCATAATAATGATAAGTAGCATCATCATCTTGATAATCATCAGCATCATCATCATCAGCAGCAGCATCAGCATCATCAGCATCAGCATCTTCATCATGAGCATCATCACATCGGCATCGTCAGCATCATCGTCATCATGATCATCAGCATCATCACCATCACCATCACCATCACCACCATCACAACTACCAGCATCATCATCAGCAGCATCATCAACATTCTCAGCATCATCATCACCATCATCCGCATCAGCAGCATCGGCATCGGCATCGGCATCGCCGTCATTACCATCAGCAGCGCAGACGACATCGTCCTCAGCAGCAGCATCACAATCCGCAGAATCATCATCAGCACCATCAACATCATCATCTTAATCTTCATCAGTATCACCATGAGACTCATCACCAGCATCATCATCATCATCATCATCATCATCATCATCATCATCATCATCATCTTCATCTTCTTCGTCGTCATCACGAGCAGCATCAGCATCAGCATCATCGTCATCAGTGTCACAATCGTACTCAGCCTCATCATCGGCGGCATCATCATCAACGTGTTCATCCTCACCATCACCACAACTGTTATCATCATCATCATCATTATCATCAGCATCATCATCATCAAGATCATCAGCATTAGCAGCATCAGCATCAGCATCACCATCGTCATCACCATCATCATCATCATCAGCAGCATCACCATCACAATCACGATCATCATCATCATCATCATCATCATCATCATCATCAGCGGCATCATCATCAGTACCATCATCGGCATCATCATCATCAGCATCAGCATCAGCAACAACATCATCATCGCCGTCCTCATCATCATCATCATCAGCATCATCATCAGCATCGTCGCCATTACTATTAGCGTCATCATCATGATCATCACCATCAGCATCATCTTCATCCTCCTTCTCCTCCACAACATAGCAATCATCAGCATCACCAACGTAATCATTATACAAATGAATGATAAGAAGAATACTGAAAATCAGCATCGTCATCAGCAGCAGCATCATCATCATCATCATGATCATCATCGTTATCATCATCACCACCAGCATCGTCGTGATTATCATCAGTATCATCGTCACCATCATCGTCAGCATCAGCATCCTCCTCCCCGTACTGTTTCGCATCAAGTAATCATCATCATCGTCGTCATCATCAATATCATCAGCATCAGCATCATAAACATCATCATCAGCATCATCATCATCAGCATCTTCTTCCTCCTCGTCATCATCATAAGCATCAGCACCACCACCATCATCAGCATCGTCGTCATCATCAGCATATTCACCATGATCATCATCATCAGCATCCCCCTCCTCCTGCTTCTCCTCCCCATCATCATCGTCATCATCATCAGAATCATCCTCAGCATCATCGTCATCAGCAGCATCATCACCGTAATCATGATCATTATCACACTAACCATCATCATCATAATCATCATCACCATCATCACCGTCATCGTCGTCATCATCATCATCATAATCAGCATCATCATCATCATCAGCATCATCAGCATCATCAGCATCATCTATCATCATCACCATCATCACCATCATCATCACCCCGACGACCCATGACTTTCGTCAAGCATGGGCCACAGAGCCGTGGCGTTCTCCACCCCTCCTTCTTCCTTGCCTCCCCTCCCCCCGCCCCTGCCCCTCAACCCTCCGTGTCCTGTTCCCCCATCTCCCCGTCCTATCTCCCTTTCCTCCCTTCCTCCCCTCCCCCTCCTCGTCCCCAACCCCCATCCCCAAAGGCGACGGAACGGCTGGTCCGACCCCAGCGAAGACCATGCCGCTGTAGCACATGACTGTAAACAGCACCTGAGAGTAATCCAATTCCGCCGCCACCACTGCTCATGTCGCTCCTCTTCATCCGTACCGTCGCTATCATCGACATTAGCATTAAACCGACATCGTCGTCATCGTCATCGTCATTAACATCGTCATCATCACCACCACCAACAACATCATCAGCATCGTCAGCATCATCGTCGTCATCGTTGTCGCCATCAGCAATATCGTCGTCGTCGTGGTATTCATCGTCGTCATCACCATCATTCCCAACGTCGTCGTCATCGTCATGGTAATCATCATCATCAGCATCATAACCGTCATCATCCTCATCATCGTCGCCATCATGAACATAACCCGCATCACCATCACAACAAGCATTACCATACCCATCAACATCATGATCCGCATACGGGTCATTCACATCATCATCATAATCAGATTCATCATCATCATCACCACCAACATCATCGTCGTCGTCGCTGAATGTCGTCGTCGTCGCTGATCGTCGTCGTCGAAAACATCACTGTCGTCGTCATAGACGTCGTCGCCATCGGCATCGTCGTCGTCGCCAGTATACGGGCGTGCGCCACCAAAGGGAGACGCCATGGGTTGCGCGATCCATGGGGTTGCGCCATAGGCTGCCGCATTCATGGGTCATTCCATGGGTTGCGCCATCCATCGTTGCACCAACGGGTGCGCGATTAACGGGGTCCGCCATGGATTGCGCGGGCTGCGCCATAGACTGCGCTCTGGACAGGCGAGGGTAAATCGGCCTGGTTGCGTCAGAGGTGAGGATGGGCACTTGCACGCCGAGCGGCGCGCCCACCTGGAACCAATCCCGGAAACAGGTCTCGAGGCCCCCGCCTGCCTGCAGCCCTCCGCTCGCAGCGGGGAAGACTGCACCCTGCACGCGCTGCCTGGTTCTCTACGGGGTAGCCGAGAAGCTTGCGCAGCCGGTGTCTCATGACCGACTTAGGTCCCTGCCTGGGCCGGTTTAACTTGTGTCACCGAAGCGCCGCACCACTGCGGTGGCTTCGAGGCACTCCGAAACCCAGTCGTCGCACAAGGCGGACACCTCCTTACCAAAGGCGCACAGGCTCGGCAGGCGCGCGACGGAGGCCACCGTAGAGCACAGGCCACCAACGCAAAGGTGGTTCTCTTGCTCTCGGCGTTGCTGCCGGGAGGCCAGGGCCGCGGTCGTTGGCGCGGGGCGCGCGACCTCGGCGAGAGCTGGCCGCGCGGCCGACTGCCCAGTTGCCGCGCCAGCACTGGTGAGGCGCCTGACTACGGCGTTGCCCCACTGGCCCACTCGACCAGGGCGCTGTCGGCGTCCTCAGCGGCAGCGCCCGGCGACCCCAGAGCCGGGGTCAGCAGCGCCAGCAGTCCGGCGCCTTGTGCGAAGAATTACCGCACTTAGCGCACTTGTGCACCCGGCCCTTCGGCCAAGTCGAAGGCGCCCCCAGCTTGCCGCACTCGTTCGGCGGGTGGCCTTGCCTCCTTCGACTTATTGCGTACCTCGGACCCCTGGATTTCCTGCGAGTCGTTCGTCTGCTTTCGCGGCCCCCCCGCCGAGCTGCCGCGGGCAGTCGGATGGGACGCCTCGTTTCCTGACGCCTGGAGGCGCTCCTGTTGCGCGCCGGTCTTGCGCCGCTTGCCCGTCGCGGGGAGCCGCTGCGTCGGTGGCGCGATGGCCGCGAGGCCTCCTGGCAAGTGGGGCAAGGCCAAAACCCCCTCGGGCGCGAGCAGCACGTTGCGGCCGTCGCGTGCTACCACGTTAAAGCCGGGCGCCGCACGCGAGCATCCCAGAATGCCTCGCCGTCGGCCGCGAGGCGGCACGCGGTGGACCAAGGGGCAGCGCTGTTCTAGTCGGGGGCAGGCGTCTCGCCAGCCACGAATTTGGCCTCGCAGCGGCGCTTCCAGCGCGAGGTCAGCATTGCGGCGAGCAGCCGCGGTCGGCCATCCCGCGGTTGAGGGCCGCGAGCTACTCCACCGAAAATTCCACATCCTCCGCCGGAGCAGCGAGGACCTGCTGCTGGTCGTTGACGCGCCACTGGGCGCACGCGGTTGCGTCGGCGACCCGAACCTCTCCATCGTCGCCCTGGTCGAGGCTGGCGGCCAACTTGACGACCTTCCCCGTGATCGTTGGAGCTGCCACCAGCGACGCCCTGGACCCGGCCGCAGCTGGCGGGGCCGCAGGTGCCCTGAATGGGTCCACGTTCACGAATCCGCCCCATCACTGCCCACCAGCAGTCAACGAAATCCGTTGCAAATGCACCAGATGAGCCCCCAGCTTCCCCAGGGCTTCCCCATCGGCCATCTGCCCCGCCACCTGTTCTGAGGCGCTCGCAATGCAGTCGCGAGACGCCCCCGTTTCTGGCGGGCAGTCGAGCGGCCCTGCCCTGGGCGCGGTCTGGGAGGCAATGCGTTCCTCGAGACTCCGCCGGTGAACTCCTTCCCCCGCTTCCTTTTCTTCGCGTCTCCTCTCAGATTCGCGCCCTGTCTGCGCCGCCCCCTCGCAGCGCGCGACGCGCCTCTGCTCCGTCGCGTCGCAGTGCTCGGCACAGAAGGGCTCGACGCAGCGGTCGCGGTCATACACTGCGACCTGGCGACACGCGAAGCGCCGCAGCCACAGCGCGCCGCGGGCTGCACCTCGTTCGGCCTCGCCGTCCTCCGCGGGGCCGCCGGCGCGGCGACGACTATGGTCGCCCCTAGTTTTGCCTGGGACTGCACATGCACGTGTGTAGATATACACGCATATCTATATATATATATATATACATATACATATATATATATACATGTGTGTATACATGGGTCGAAGATGCATATACGTGTATGTATATATACATATGAATACATATACAGATACAGGCCCCCGGCCTCGTACCCCGATATATATATATATATATATATATATGTATATATATATGGACTTACCCGTCGCACCATTCGATGCCCTGCATGGCCCCAGTGGAGCTGCTCGCGCTGAGCTCCCCTGGCCCCATCGGCGGTCGGCCCTCGGTTCGAGACGCCGAGCGGCGATGTCTACCCCTCGGTTCGCCCGCTGCTCCGTGGGCTCGATGTTCTCACTTGCGGCGCGAGCCTCGGCGGCTGCGCGAACGCTGTTCTGACTGCCTACCAGACCACCCCAACCCAACCCGAAGACCCGAATTTCGGGTTGGGGGGGGTAAGGGTTCCACATCTATTTTTTCGATGTTTCCCGACCCCCCCCCCCCACTGGAAATCGAGGGTAAATCTGAGCCTTCGGGTTGGGTTGGGGTGGTGTGGTGGGTGGTGATGTTCGCACTAGCCGCGCCGGCAGTCCCCCGCGCCTGCACGCATCAGCAACCTCACCCCACGCAGGCCTCGTCGCTGCTGCTCATTGCGCGTCCGGCAGACGCCCTCAACCTCGCGGCCTCGGCAGTCGCATGGTCGGCCCAAGCCGTTCGAACTGCCGCGCGCGCCCCCGCGGCAACGCGTTCGCCGTCGGCCCCTGCTGCCCCGAGCCCCTAGGCAACATACAACCACTCCCGAGACAGGCAACACAGTCACGCGATATCGTGATGAACCTGTCGGCTGATCGCCAAGCCATTTGCCTGGTGGTTCCCTTGATAGAGATCTTCTGGTTGATGGGCAAACGTTCTGAAACGTCACTTGGTTCTTCTAGTACTGGTACGAAACTGACCCTCGGGGGGAAGTACCTGAAGCCATGGCTACCTAAGGTATCGGAATTATCCTGAGCGGATGCGCGGAAGCACTCAGAAATGTTAGACCAACCGGCCGAGGGAAAGGAAGCTGGTCACGCGCGCTGTTCTAAATTGAGTACCGCAAACACGGCTAGGGTATATTTCATGTCAGTCCGTCGCTGTCGGCGACGCCAGCCGTGCGATTAGGAGGGGCGGCGGCGGCGGCAGCGAAGACGGGGGAGGGGAGCGCTGGATAATTACTTCCTAGGCCAGGGATGGGCCTGGCCAGGGTCGGTGCAGGTGTATAGCCTGTGCCCTCCTACTCCAGGTGCGCCCGTCGGCGACCTCGCGGAGGCCGTGCTGAAAAGGCGGGCCTCGACGGCCCCTTCCGTCACGCGGGCGCGACGGCGGGCGACCCACGCAGCCTTGCGGGTGGGACCCCCGATGGCTCGCAGGCAAGGTTCTGTGGCACACTGTCTGGCCGGCGGCAGAGCAGAGCTGGCCGCACCGGCGAAGGAGCCAGGACGGGGGCACCGAAGAGCGAAGCGGCCAGCGTGCAACAGGGGGAGAAGGGGGAGGCGGGCGGCCGCGGGGAAGGGGGCGAGGCTCTGTGGCACACGCTTCACTGTAGCGCGGGCGTCCTCGAGCAGCACCGCGCCCTGGACTTGTCCCGGCCGCAGGCGGAGCACCTGAATGGCGGCGTCGTCGGTCAGCGAACCGAGGGCGGCTGGCCACGCGCCGTCGGCCTGAGGGGCGGCCAGGACGTCCTCGGGGGCCTTCACTCGGAAGGCTACGCAGGAAGCAGTATCCTTAGGTCGGGCATGTCCCCCTACAGGCGGACTTGGGAGGAAAAATAAACAATGTTCAGAAAATACGCCAGAATAGTCAAAAAAAAGTAATCGGAGAATGGTCCTTTGACTACTTTGGAATATTCCTCCCGTAGAGGGACAGGCCCGACCTAAACCTGGAAGGCTGCGCAGGAGGCGGCATCCTGCCGACGCCGCCGGCATGCTCTCTGCGGCTCTGGCCGCTCTCCGCTCCGTCGCCCACACTTCTCAGACGCACCCACGGACAGACCAGCAGTACGTTCTTCCAGGTGGTCACTGGTCGGGGGCGCGCGAGCATGGATCAGGGGGGGGGCCCTCCTCAAGATGTGGCTGGTGCCGCCTCGCTCGGCGGCGGAAATCCGCGATTTCCCACAGAAACGGGACCCGTCGCTAATCCATGCCCCCTTAATCCATAATTGCGATCGCCTGCACATGGGTACCGAGACCGCTACTCACCAGACCTCCCCCGCGGCGCGTTCCGGCCAGAATTTCGAAGAGAGTGCAGCCGTGGCGATGAGGGCTTTTCAGGATGAGCAGCGGGATCGGCATCCTTTCCACACATGAAGATAATCCTTCCCGCGCCACCCAATTCCAGTGCCCAGTGTCTGCTCTCGCAGGACTACGGAGGTGCATGCGCACCCGCTTTTGCACGGGGGGGGGGCCCCGGGCGCGCCTGCCTCCTAATAGATGGCGGGCTAATCCGCCGCTGCGGGAGCCCCCCCTGCGCAAATTAGGCTTGACATTCTCCTGCAGGAGGGACAGAAGCGGCCACAGACCACTGAAACGGGGATCTCCACCGGGGGCGCCCCTCAGTTAACCATCGTCATCGCCATCGTCATCAACATCATCACCATCACCATCGCCGTCACCGTAACCATCGCAGTCACCGTCATCATCATCACCACCATACTCGTCATCGTCATCATCGTCAACACAACCACCAGTGTCAGAATCGTCACCGGCATCATCAACACCATCAACAACAATAGCAGCAAAAGCAGCAGCAACAGCAGCAACAACAACAAGAGCAGCAACAGCAACAATCACCACGTAACCAGCATCCGCAACAGTATCATCGGCATCGTCATCGTATTTCCACCATCACCACCAACAACATCATCAGCATCAGTATCTTAAGCATCAGCATCAGCATCGCCATCACCAGCACCACCACCACCACCACCATCATCATCATAACCATCATCAACCATCAGAATCCTCATTATCAGCATCTCATCACATTATCTGCATCATCATCACCACCACCAGAACCACCACATCCACCATCATCACCATCACCAGCACCACCACCACCATCATCACCACCACCATCACAACAGTCATCATCATCATCATCATCATCATCATCATCATCATCATCATCAGCAGCAGCAGCAGCATCATCAGCATCATCATCATCAATCATCATCAATCATCATCAATCATCATCAACAGCAGCATCAGCAGCATCATCATCAGCATCAGCATCATCATCATCACCATCATAATCCTAAGCGGATTCTGCATCAGCATCATCAGCATCAGCATCAACATCATCATCAGCAGCAGCATCATCATCAGCATCAGCATCAGCATTGTCAGCATAATCACCATCGTCATCATCACCATCACCATCATCATCATCATCATCATCACCATCATCATCGTCCTTCCGCCACCGATTCCTCTTCCTCCGCCTTCGCCGTATCTACCGCTGGCTCCTCCTCCTCCCCCTCCTCCTCCAACTCTGCGCGCCTCTTCCTAATGCGGTGCAGATGTGGTGAAGCCACGAAAACGAAGCATTACTCTCATTCTCTCTCTCGCTTGGTTTCCCTCTCACTGCGTGCGGCACCCCCCAATTGAACTGCGGGTGGCTCTTTTTCCACTGATCGAGGTAGTCCTCGTGCTCCTGCCATGGGACGACTTCGGAGAAAGAGGTGCGCAGGGAAGAAGAACACAGAAAAAGAAGGAGAGGGAGAGAGAAAGATAGAAGCGGAAAAAGTGTGGGCTGGTCGTCGCGATCGCCCGCCCCCCTCCAGGAGATCGTCGCTGTGCCGCTTCCGCAGCCTGCCGAGACCGCATGTTCGCTCGCGGATCTCGATGCAGCACGCCGCGCTTCACACGTCCCCCCCCGTTGGGGAGCGTCTCCTCGCTCGCGCAGGCCAAATCTGCGAGCGCACAGCCAGAGCAGAGGGAAAGTTGCCTGCGAGGGAGCTTCGAGCTTCGATGGGGGGACCGGGCGGGAGCAGGGAAGAGCAGGATTGTAATCTAGCGTCTAGCGCAGATGCCCTTGAGGGCCTTGAGGGTAGGCATAGCCTTGTGTATGTCGGGTGGGGCACTCAAGCAGGGAGGAGGAGAAGATGAGGAGGGGGAGGAGAAGGAGGAGGAGGAGGAGGAGGGGGAGGAGGGGGAGGAAATCAGGAGAAAAGGGAGGAGGACGGCCAACGCGGGTAGTGAAAGAAGGGCGAAAGGGAAAGAACAGGAAGGAGCGGGGGCTAACAAAAAGGAGCGACAGTGGGGAACGGCAGGGAGGAAAGACGAAGGGGAGGAGGACGACGAGGCTTGCGAGAAGAGGGGGTCCTTCGCTCCGCCTCCTCCTCCTCCTCTTTCTCCTCCTCCCTCCTCCTCTTTCTCCTCCTCCTCCTCCTCCTCCACCACCTCCTCCTCCTCCCTCCTCCTCCTTCTGCTCCTCCTCATCCTCCTCCTCCTCCTCCCACCTCCCCCTCCCTCCTCTTCCTCCTCCCTTCTCATCCCTCCTCCTCCCTCCTCCTACCTCCTCCTCCTCTTCTTCTTATTCTTCTTATTAGTAGACTCGTTAGACACGACTACTACTACTACTACTACTACTACTACTACTACTACTACTACTACTACTACTAAATTGCTACCACTGCTACTACTACTACTATTACTACTACTACTACTACTACTACTACTACTACTAC